CATAATCTTTTTCTTTTTTGTAATTTGGGAGGAACAGAATTGTTAATAAAATTCTAGTATCTCTCAAACATCAGATTCAGAACGTGAAGCACTTACTTTTCATGTGGGATAAGCTCATTACTAAATAGCTTCAAGTGTTTAATACGGAAAAAATAGGATTACTGAAAACCAAATTGGCTTTTCATAAGGTTTGTTTTGATGTTAACAGTAATGTCTAGGTTTGAATTCTGATAATCATAAATAGGATACTTTAACAATGTAGCATATACAGAAATCATTCATAAGCACTATTAACTGAAATGAATCATATAGCAGGGCTGCAAAGCTTTCCAAATTTACCCCTGCAGATGTTACTTTGGACCAACTCTATTTTATCGTTTGTCCTTGACATAATACCAGGTACACACTGGGTTCCTATTACTACCTAATCTTTTTACTTTATTATTTGACTTGGGCTATCCTTTAGGGCATCACACACAAAATAGAAAAAACAAACAACACTGAAGTGTCAAACAGATGTAACTAAGAAGGTAAATACTCATTGACTCCTGGATGTTTTATATGCTAGCAAATAGGCACAACAAGTTACAAGGGAAAGGAGGCGAGGATGTACAGGTGGACCCAGAAAAGTTAATGTCAAACCAATATTGGTTAGGTATTTAATTTTCACATACAAAGGGCAACATTATTATAGTTGAGTATGGAATGAAAGTTTTACATAATCCAAAAGTACCATAAAACATATAATCCTTACTTAGATTGTTAAGTGCTGTCACTGAAAAAAGAAAAAAAATCTGGGAATAAATGTACAGAGCTTCTTCATCTCGAACTTTTCACCATATATAATTCTGCCCTCGGATGTTAACAAGTCATTTCTTCAAGTGTATAAATCATATATCTTTAAGAATCATTTTATAAGTCACCATAATTAACAATAGTTTTCTTGGCCTATCAACCTAAAGAGAAAAGAATTTATCATTTAAACCAGTACCTTAATATTAAATTCATATTTCAAAAGGATTTTGAGCCCAATTAATCCAATACCTCTAAAAAAATGACAGAACCATAAATCTATTTTAACGATCTTCCAATCTAAACTCCAAACTAAAAAGTTATACACAAACCAAACTAATAATAAATTGGAATTGTTTTTGTTTCAAACCCCCAAACTCTACATTTTGTGCTCTTTTTCTCCAAACCAGTATTTAATATTTTCAAAACTAAAACACCAACTACTTGAGAATGCTTCAGTGCCTATAGAGAAACTTAATTATGTGTTTGCACGTTTTAATAACAACTCACTTTTATAACTGATGTTTACTGAAAACCTGTGAATAAATTACTGAGATAGTTTACTGTTTTTTTAAAGGAACTTCACAAAGAATTCTGAGCAAAGATGTCCTCTCAATAATGTATATAACATATATATTCAGGTTTTCCATATCATCTTTTCTTAGAATAGTACATATTAATAATGTGATACCTATGTCACCAAATTCCACCCAAAAGTTGGTTTTAAGTAGATGTTTTATTTTATGAGTTACTAGAAAAGCAAAACATTAAAAAGAAAAACCACTAACCAATACTCCTCAGTGCTTGGATTTTGGTCATTGTTTTATGCAACAGAATTAAAATTTTTTCATTCAATTTTTTTCATGACAGAATTAAAATTTTTTCATGCATATTATAAAGACTGCAATATGTATGCAGATTTTCATGCTCAATTCCACAGAAAGCTATCCAAGCAAGGTGAGTGTTTTGAGATTAGACCATTTAGGTTAGTATGGTTCATTTTCTCTCATCTCTCAATAGAGTATATTACTGAACTACAGATGGCAGTTAAGTGCACTGGTTAAAAGCTATGAAAGTTTGGCCAGGGGAAGTGGTGGCCCACTCCTGTAATCCCAGCACTTTGGGAGGCCAAGGTAGGTGCATAACCTGAGGGAAGGAGTTCAAGACCAGCCTGGCCAACATGAAGAAACCCCATCTGTACTAAAAAAACACACAAGAATTAGCCAGGTGTGGTGGTGCACGCCTGTAAGTCCCAGCGACTCAGGAGGCTGAGGCAGGAGAATTACTCAAACCCGGGAGGCTGCAGTGGGCCGACAATGCACCACCGCACTCCAGCCTGGGTGACAGAGCGAGACTCCATCACACAAAGAAAAAAAAAAAAAGAAGAGCGTCGGGTCATACGGCCTCCCCTGACCCAATAAAGGGGTTAGGGAAGTGCCTAACCTGGAGGAAGGAGGTCCACCGCACTCCAGCCTGGGTGACAGAGCGAGACTCCATCACACAAAGAAAAAAAAAAAGCTGCTTGCGAAAGCACAAAAATAAGCCATGAAAGTTAATTACCCTCCCTGAACCCATTTAGTGGTGAAAGATTAATAATATAAAGCTCAGTGCCTGCTATATAGTAACTGCTCAATAAATGTTCAGCTCTTATGACCATTCATATTAATAATTCAACACCAGTTCCTATTTCAACTGCTTTCTTTTATAACATGGAATCTCTTCCCCCTATTTTCCACATCTTAGAAATCATATTGGAAAACCTCCTACCTTCAAAATTTTCGAAAGACTTTTCCACTAAAATACTAATGTGACTAAATATTTAGATCTGGAGAAGTTGGTCTTTATCTGAATGATGTTTTAATGAACTGTTCAAAACTGTGAATGTTCTCTGAAACACATCAGTATACTGATTTATCATTTTCATTATAGACCAGCATGTAGCAAATTCATAACCTATACCTTTTTATTATGAGGATTTTCTAGACTGATATACACCTTTAAGACATGAATCATCCTCCTAGAGTTGGGGAAACTGATGGGAAAATGGCTAAATGATTCAGCATGCTGCAGCAAAGTGAGCTGGTCATAAATTTACAATTTCCACTTCTGTTAGGTGCCCTGGCCCTGGTGGCCTCTTTCATCTTGTACTGCATATATAACATATAATACTGTAATCAACAAATTTTGTTAAACATTCCCTTGGGAAAGGCATAATGGTACTTTCTCCTCAGATCAGCTTCTAGAAACAAAATTATTCAATTCTATGAGACAACAGGTTCAGAAGGCTAGACAACTCTTACAATGTCCAGTTGTAAGCTTCACCAAGCTTGACTTATGCAGATAACAGGGCGAGAGTGAATTCTGACACTGGTACCACTTTCTCAGCTGCACAAAGGAGATAGTAGGGAAAAGATGTCAGGCCAAAAAAACCCAAAAGATGGGCAAAGGAAGCCAGCTGAGGAAATGGTTATGGCCATACCTGTGTCTCTCATGCCAACACTGACCTTTATACCAAAAACATCACAATAGAACAGAAGATCCTAAGCAGGTCAAGAGAACTAAATAGCAACTGCTGAACATACACTCATATAGCCTGACTTATGAGGAGCCTCACCACCCAAAGCAGGTGAAAGCCTTTTTCTTTTCTAAGTGCCTCTGTTTATCCTTCAATGACAAAAAATGTACTGTTAATTAAGGTATTTCAGAAATGTACAGATTCCAGAGTAGAATAAAGCCTTTTCCATCAAATAACCAGTTACAAAAACAACATTAAGAATTAAATGTTTTCATCTAAAATTGCACCATCTCAGATGCTGGGGAAGTACATCCATTTTGTGACCATAGCATAGTCATCTCACCCAGCATTTTCTGAGAATGAGACAAAATGTACCAGGATGTGTAAAATGAAATTGCCATAGCTGTTAAGTCCAATTTCCTCATTCAGTATCTTGAATTCATTTGTTTGGTATGGTAACATACACACACACACACTCACAAAAAAATCCTCAGGAGCAACACTGAAAAAGATGATACTATCTTAGAACTATCTGAAATGTATTTAGGAAAGAACTAGGGTGACAAGTTTGACCTTCCATAAATTCATCTTTTTTTTTTTTTTGACTGTGCAACCTCTAATTTCCTCTAATTTGGAGAAGGGAGGGTGGGTGGAGAAAGAAAAAAAGGTGCAAAACATCTAATTCAGAGTGTACAATCTGTGTGTGTGTGTATATATACACATAATGTGTGTGTGTGTGTGTATTTTTCCCCCTTCACCAAGACCTTAGAGGTAAATAAGAGGAAAAAATGGCTCACAAGACAAGGTTTCAGGACTAACCCAAGGGAACACCTCCACAGCTGGAGAATTTCAGCTCAGGGGCAACCTGGCTGGGAATATCAGAGGCCGCAGCATTATCGACCAAGAGCACAGGCCGCACCACCAGCATCCCAGGCGCCTCTGCCGTGCGCATGTCCCTCTTATATAAAGAGATGCTTACAGTCCAGGTGCTTTTTCTTGGGGCCCATCACTTCATGAGTAGTGGCTTTGCAGACCGCTCTCGCTACAGCAGAGCCTGTCACGCTGTACTGAGCCGCGGCGATCCGATCCGTGAGCGTTTGGCCCGACATCTTCTCTGGTCGCGTCTACCGCCTCCTCTTCTGCAGGAAACAAGGGGAGACGGTCCGGCTTTAATCCGCAGACCCTCCCCTCCAAGCACCCAGGCCTCGCCTCCTCCAGCCGCGCGGCGGCTCTCTCCTCCTCCATCCCCACCCTGGCACCACCTCTTGGAGCCAGCAACGCGCCAAGCCCCGCTCCTGCGATGCGGTCCAGGGAGTCTTGGCCTTGAGTGGGGCAGTCACGGAACCCCAGCGTGGGCTCCAGTCTCAGCATCGTGGCACCGTCCCCATTCTCCCCCAACCCCCACACAGGACCAGACTCGCCCCCTGGGGACCCCTCTGTCAATCAGCACTTTCCCCGCAACCTGACACGCGGGTGCTGCGCTAGCCACGACGTGCGTCCGGGTTATTCCCTGGGCGCCGCACCCACCGGTGCCCACCTCCCACCTTCGCAGACTTTCCTCCTAGCAGCCTGCAGGCTTCGGGGAATGCATCGGCTACCCAACCCCTGACTGCCTCCCTCCTCCTCCTCGCGCTGCTGCAGCAAAGGGCTCGTCCTCCCTCAGTCGCGAAGGAGATTATCCTAGCATTGCGCCATGTTATGCCCTCGCTTCCCCTTCCTTCCCCGCCTCCGGTTCCAAAGCCTCGCCGAGGCCGATAGCCCGGGCCCCTTCCCCCCGGTCTCCAAATCCCTGCCGCAGGGGCCGCCCGGGAGCGCTGCGGCGGCGCCGGAGTCTTGGGGCACCTCACCCTTCCTGGATTTGGAGCGGAGCCGGGCTGACAGCGCAGCCCAGCCCCCCTGCCCGCCCTGGAGCGCTCCGCGGAGCTGTCACCCGGCCGCTGCCCTTCTCCGCACCCTGGGATTATCCTCTGTGGATCCCCGCGCGGCGGGGAGGGGGCCGAGTACGGCCGCGGGTACTCACCCCGCCCCTGAGCGGCGCCGCCCGCCGCAGGATGAGCGGAGCCCGGGCAGCTGAGGGAAGCCGCGCCGGTGGGTGTGTGCGACCGCGCGCAGACCGGGTGCCCCTGGGCGCAAAGTCTCCAGCCCTGGCCGGGCCCCGCTCCTCAGCTCCGCGGTCCCGACACCCGTCGCCCCTGGCCCCAGAAGCCAGTACCCGCCCGCCGCCTCTTCTGCAAGCGCCGCCGCGTCTCTCTAGCGCTCCAAGCTGCGTCCCCATCCCCGCCCCCACCTCAGCTGTGGCTCCTCCGACGAGTCAGGTGACGGCGGCGGACAAACCCGGACGAGCCCTCGGCGGAGTGCCTCGCGGCCCCCTCCCAGCTACTCACACACACCGCCCCCCGGGGCTGGGAGCTTAAAGGCGAGGGGGCGCCTCGCGCAAGCATCCCCGGCAAGCGGGAGGGGAGAAGAAGGAGGCGGGGAGGCGAGGAGGCCGACACCCACCCAGCCAGCCGCTCTCCGCTGGGCTCCCGGCCGCCCCTCCGCTGCTGGCTCCGCACCCGGCACGCACTGGGAGCGCGCACCGCGCACACCTGCCCGCCGACTGCTGGGGGCTCCCTGGGCGGTAGGGGCGTTGGCCAAGCCAGGCGAGAGGACTTCTCGGGTTCTACTCGGTGAAGGCCAAGGCAAGGGCGTCGTCGCCCGCTGCCTGGCGAAGCCCAGCCCCTTCTCCCCCACACTGTCGCTGACACGCCCGCCTGTCAAAGGCACCCAGGCCCAGATGAGCAGGGTGATTTTAAATGTCAGATCCTGCCGGCCATCTGCGACCGTTACCTGTGCGTCTTCAGCTCCTCAGGCTCCTCCGCTTGTCTCAGTTACAACTGGGAGCCCGGGTGGGCCGGTAATTCTAGCCACTTTAGTCTTAAAGGGATACTGAGGTCTGCTGAAGGGAGAATAATTAACAGCCATTAATCGAGTCCCAGGTTACCTTCGACAGTAATCATTTGAGTGCGTAAGGATAAACCCTTTGTACCCTTTAAAAGTAATTCTGCCAGTTGAATATAGTGTTGGAACGTCCGTCAATTGAATATCAAGTGTATACTTGAATAGTAAGCAGGAATTTCTAAACGGGGATGTGGAGTTGGTTAATAGTTTCACACGTTGACATTTTCAAAGGTTGTTATTTATGTTCAACTTTTTTTTTTTAATTCTCACAGTAGCATGAAGATCAAAACTATATTTGTGAACTTTCCTGACATTTTTTCCCCCTGGCTTCTGGTGGCTTCTGCTTAGCCTTGAAGCCATGTATGGATACCTATCAATCTCAAGGTTTTGTTATATATTCCTCTCTTTCACCTGGTCCAGTGTTCAGTATGCAGTCATGATTTCCTGACTGTTGAGAATGATTCTAGCACTAATTGGAAGCTTAATGACTAAAGAGAGACAGCTTAAGAGCACCATTGTCTCAAATACTAGTTTTACCGTATTTACGAGGGAAATAAAAACGCAATTCTATTTTAAACAAAACAAAACAAAACAAAAAAACCTTATACTCCAGTTTTATAGCAGCTTAATATAATGGTCCCAGACTGGAGGAAAGCCAGATGTTATTCTACAAGCAAATGAATAAACAAGACATGGTATATCCACATAATGGAATACTACTTAGCAATAACAAGAAACAAACTAATACCATTCATGAATCTCAGATGCATTAGATGAAAGCAAAGAAGCTCAATCAAAAAATCTACTTATTATTTTGATTTCATTTATGTGACATTCTGGAAAAATCAAAACTATAGAAACAGAAAACATATCAGGTGCCAAGTCAGGTGACGGTGGCATTGAGGGAGGGGCCTGCAAAGGGGTAGAAGGAAACTTTTTGGAGAGATGGAAGTGTTTTATATCATGACGGTGATGATTATACAACTGCATGTATTTCTCAAAACTCATCAATTTGTACACTTAAAATTGATGCATTTTGTTGTTTTTTAATTATACCTCAATATAATCTGATAGAGTTGGAGTGGCGATATTAATATCAAAGTAAGTTTTACAAAAAGGAATATTAATAGCAATAAACAGGCACATTTCTTTTTTCTTTTTCTTTTTTTTTTTTTTTTTTTTGAGACGGAGTCTGGCTCTGTGGCTCAGGCTGGAGTGCAGTGGCCGGATCTCAGCTCACTGCAAGCTCCGCCTCCTGGGTTCACGCCATTCTCCTGCCTCAGCCTCCCGAGTACCTGGGACTACAGGCGCCCGCCACCTCGCCCGGCTAGTTTTTTGTATTTTTTTTTTTTTTTTTTAGTAGAGACGGGGTTTCACCGTGTTAGCCAGGATGGTCTTGATCTTGTGACCTCGTGATCCGCCCGTCTGGGCATCCCAAAGTGCTGGGATTACAGGCTTGAGCCACCGCGCCCGGCCAGCAGGCACATTTCACAATGAAAAATTCATTAAGAGCATGGAACAATTCTACATGTTTATATATCTAAGAACAGAGTTTCAAAATAGGATGAAGCAAAACCTAATAGCATTAAAAGGAGAAATAGGCAAATCCACAATTATACTTGAAGATTTCAGAACTTTTCTCTGTGTAATAAATAGGACAAGTAGACAGGAAACCTGTAAGGGTATAGGTGACTTGAAATAGCCCTGTAGGCCGGGCACGGTGACTCATGCTTGTAATCCCAGCACTTTGGGAGGCCGTGCCAGCCAGGCGGATCACGAGGTTAGGAGATCCAGACCATCCTGGCTAACACGGTGAAACCCCGTCTCTACTAGCCTGGCGTGGTGGCGGGTGCCTGTAGCCCCAGTTACTCGGGAGTCTGAGGCAGGAGAATGCCTTGAACCCGGGAGGCGGAGCTTGCAGTGAGCAGACGTAGCGCGCGGCTGCACTCCAGCCTGGGCGACAGAGCGAGACTCTGTCTCAAAAAAAAAAAAAAGAAGTAGCCCTGCAGACAAATTTAACCTAACTGACATTTATAAAATAGTCCACCCAACAGTGGTGGAATACTTTCTTCAAGTGTGCGTGGAACATTCACCAGGATTGACCATACTGACTGATACTAAGCCATGAAGCTTAGTATTTTAAATGTTAAAAGATTATAATCATACATATTATGTTCTCTCACCACAGTGGAATTTAACTAAAAATCAGTAACAGATAGATATATAGAAATCTCCAAATATCTGATAATTAACACATTCTAAATAACCCATGGGTCTAATTTTCTCATAAGGAAAATTGGAAATTTATTTGAACTAAATAATAATGAAAATTCCACGTATCAAAATTTGTGGGTTGCAGGCAAAGCACTGATTAGAGGCAAGTTTATAGCATTAAAATGCTTAGGAATGAAGAAAGATCTAAAAATATTTATTTGAGTTTCAACCTTAAGGCACTAGAAAAAGAACAAATTGAATTCAACATGAGCAGAAAGAAGGAAGTAATAAAGATAAGAGTACAAATCAATGAAAGAGAAAATGACAAATAATAGATAAAATCAATTAAACCAAAAGCCATTTTTTGGAAAAGATCACAAAATGGATAACCGCCCTAGCCAGATTGAGCAAGGAAAAATAAGATGGCACAAATTTCCAATGTTAGGAGTGAAAGGAGAAATCAATTCTATGGACATTAAAAAATAAGAGAATGTTATAAACAACATTGTGCAATAAGTTGGACAATTTACATAAAATGAGGAAGTAGTATAAAATAATGCTTTTACAACAGTCCAATAATGATGTCATGTCACGTACGTTGCTATTAGTTAAGTTTTGAGCAAATAACATGTTTCCAATAATAATTAAAATAATACAATGTGAATAATTCATTTTTCAAAATAGATTGGAATGGGTTCAAAGTCAATCCTATAATAGTTGCAGTTACATACAATACACTGGGAAGTATTTGAAGCCAGAGCTTATTCTTGGTATGCTACCCGTGTCTCTGGTACTATGCATGGGAGAATATCCCACACATAAACATCCTGACCTAGTGTTAGCAGAATGTTTGAAAATCCCTCAACTATAGAAGTATCATATACAAATCAATGAATAATGTCAAGGATGGAACCAATATATGAAATGTGGGTTGTTTTGGAAGATTTTAATGAGCTTTGAAAATAGTAGAATATTTTCAGTGGCAAGATTTGGAGATGCTGGCTTCTTACAGCCTGGAAAATTTAGTTACATCCATGAATGTTATATACTAAAGTGAAAGAAAGAAAATGGACTAAAAGAAAGAAATATATTGAGATAAAAAATTATTTGTTGACATGTTCTCTTTGAAGGCGCAGGCACATAATAAATGATATTCAATAAATCTTAGGCAAGAATAAGAATTGACATTTAATGTTTTACAAGTTGAAACATCTTTGATCTCAGTGGTCAGAAAATAGGGTAATTATAATAAACACCCCAAACTGTTTTTAAAAAATACACATTGAGGCTGGTGCAGTGGTTCATTCCTGTAATCCCAGCACTTTGAGAGGCCGAGACCAGTAGATCACTTGAGGTCAGGAGTTTGAGACTAGCATGGCTAACATGGTGAAACCCCGTCTCTACTAAAAATACAAAAAATTAGCCAGGCATGGTGGCGCATGCCTGTAGTCCCAGCTACTGGGGAGGCTGAGGCCCTTCAAGAGGTTACAGTGAGCTGAGATCATGCCACTGCACACCAGCCTGGGCGACAGAGTGAGACTCCGTCTCAAAAAAAAAAAAAAAAAAAAATTGAATTTGTTTTCTGGGCCAATATACATAAATGTATATATATTACTAAATAGATTTTTTTCTAAGTCTCACAGTTTATTTATTTAAAATGTATATATATTACTAAATAGATTTTTTTTCTAAGTCTCTGATTTATTTATTTATTTATTTATTTATTTACTTTTTGTATAGACAGGGTCTCATTTTATTGCCCAGGCTGGTCTTGAACTCCTGGCCTTAAGTGATACTCTTGCCTTGACTTCCTAAAGCACTGGGATTACAGGTGTGAGCCACCATACCCAGCTAAGTCTTTGTTGTAATACACATGTTTTCTTCTGAGTATCAGATGTAATATAGAAAAATCAAGCCAACAATAATTACACGTAGACCAACAATTTATTTCAGCATGAGGGCAAGTGTCTTCAAGTTCTTGATTTCAGTTTGTTTGTAAGATACAACGCATGTACAAGAAACAGAGAAATAAAGCTGAAGATAATTTGATTGCCTCAGATAACAACCTGAGGTGAAATTAGAAAATTTATACCTTTTTCCTAAATCTAAAATATTCTCAAGGTAAAACTATAGGGTGAATTTCATTCCAGGAATGCTTTTCTGTCAAAGTAGAAAAAAACATATTGGTTCAAGAATAATCACCCTGGTATATATCCACTCCTATACACAAATGTGACATGGTCACCCACACTCAAAAGCAATTCACAACAAAAAGCAAATTTTGATATCCTGAATGCACTTGAGGAGAGACAAAAAGCTTGCTTCTCTTTTATAAGACAAGAAATGAAAAAGACCATAAAACTGATGAACACCGTAGTGTAGCAAGAAAAAATTGTAGGTTGCACAAAATGCACAAAATATCAGTGAGATTGACATTCAAACAACTTGATCATCTTAGGGAAGTATAACATTCATACATGAAACCATTCAAGTTTCTTAAGAATTACAGTTAATGAAGTATATTCCAAGCCAGAACAAACATATTTACTAAGTTTTGTTTTGCCTAAAATTCAGGTTAGAAATGAATTCATCATGGCAACTGGCATGATAAAAGGAACATGTACATTTTACATGCCTAATGGCATAAAAACAATTTAAGTATGTTATTTTCATTTGTCTCCCGGTTTTAAAACTATTGTCAATTGTCGTATAACAAACTTAGTGGCATACAACAGCAAATTT